TCCACGGGCACTAAAGTCGCGGGATGGGCCAGATCGATCCGCCGCTTTCTGTCCGCCGAGAGCGCGACGAGCTGCCACCCACCCAAAGGCTCTCCCAAAACCTACCGTGGAGCAGGGAAAAGAGGGAGAAGAAGGGGCGAAAGGGTAAAAACGCAGGGAGGGAGTGGGAAAAACAGGGCGGGATCCGGCCCTCGCTTTTACGATGCATGCGCCATAACGCCACTCCGAGACACGCACGTGCTCGACGGAGGAATCGTGCTCGCACAGGCATGCACCAGGAAATTTTAACGAGCATGGTGTGACTGCTCAATTTCTGCAAAGGGGAGGATGATCGGAGCACGCCCCATTCCCTCCCCACATTCCCGTCGCTCTTCTATCTCCCCACCTCTGCAGCCACCCCCGCAGGAGGAAACGCCGCCAATATGTCGTGGGCTTTTAAGAGTCCGGAGGATGGCATATTCATTTCAAAGCAACAGGGGATGAATGACGAGCTCTCGACATCGTCCTCGTCTACGCCGCAAGCAGAGGTGGCGTAAACAGAAGACGGGTCTTGTATGGAGTAGAGTATACGAATTGGAAGGGGCATGCTGTTTTCGCCTACAATGGAGGAAAAAAAGACAACGTGTGTTAGGAAAAAAGGAGTTGGAAAAGATTGACTAACAGCGACCATAAACTTAACACAATTGCCTCTTTTGTGACCTGGGCCGCAACACAAGGGGACCGGACCTGTGTGTCAACGAAATGCCACCGACCGGAAAAATCTTGCAAAACCCTTTTGCTAATAAATTTTCAAAACTAGGAAAATTGATCCCATTTCTAACCATCTTTTGAGGTCGTCGCTTTTGGGACTTTGTGCCAGAACCATTTGTCTGATCAGCATCGCCCAAGTCCTTTCAACAAGCCCAGAGCGAGCTAGCCAGCGATTAGGCGAGGTGCCTTCAAAATGCACCAGAATGAGACTGGAGTCCTCTCCATCGTTCGCAAAGCAAGCACGTGCACTTGAAGTGATCCATTTGAGTCGTCGGTCGTTGTCCTCCGTCTTTTAGGAAACCAAAGTGGTATAAATGTGGGAGTTGAATTGCTTGGGGCAAGGTGTCATAACGCCTGGCGCTAGCGGATGCTAACGAACGCTTTTTCGAGCAACTAAAAACACAAAGCTGCATTTGAGCACCACTACCACATAATGATGAACAGTGGTGTAGGTGTACAAAAATCAAGAAGCTTTGATGATCGGCTTTGGACGTTAGATAGTCGGAATTAGGGACCAGATCCTGTTTTAACCTCCTGTGCTTGTCGTCTATATGGTGCTCCAGGCCAAAACTCACTACTGTTCAAGCAGATTGCCTCCCACACTTTCTTGATTCTCTAGCAGTAGATTATGTCATTACACGTACCTAGAGATTGTGGGTACGCCGTGCTTTGCCATGTGGTCCTAAATTACAATCGTTCCTCTGTCCCTGCAGGATCGAAAGGGACTGTTTCGTTTCTACGAAGACAGCATGGATGAAGCTAAGCCAAGCACCGTACAAGCAGCGTATCCCTTATCAGCCACGAGCAAGGGGACGTGGTGGGGAAAGACCGCCGTGGAGGTAATATAGATATGACAAGAAAAGGATGTGTGGACCATCTCGCTTGCCCTCTCAAGAAGTCTCTGACACTCGACTGCTCTGTTGCTTCCATATCATCCAAAATTTACATATCTGTGTGTTTGTAGGTGATCGAAGCTCTTCGAGACGGGCACGTGACACCTTTGGAGCTGGTGCATGTGGCGGAGGCGCGGATCCGGTAGGGTAACAAGAGAAATGAAGGAGATCGGGCTAGATTGAGTAGGTTGCCATCAAACCCTAGATAGCAAAGAAGAGGTCATTTGAAAAAAAATCGTTTTCCACAAGGGTCCCTTCCCCACATCCTGTACCCCCGCCATGGCTCCAGCGCCACGGACGATGCCGTGAACGCCACTCCCGTCCTGTGCCCTGCGCGCGCCCGCGAGCACGCGCGTCGCCTGGCCTCCTCCCCCAGGACCTCCTACGTCCTTCGTACAAAGATTTGATACCTTGTCTTCATGCA